GGTCAAAATCTATAACATTAAACCATGACAGGTTAAACTTAACCTTGTTTTCTTTTTAAAAATCGAGCCCAACTTGGTATACCCATATTTCGACCTTGGCTGAAACTTGACCCATGCATTAATCTACCTGAGCATTTGGATCATTTGCAATTCAATCCGCCAGGCGCCAGAACAAAAATCAAACTTGCGCGTACGGCGCAACCAGCATTATATAAACAATCAGTCATCTGTAGGTACTATTGCGGTGCAGGGGACGTTTAAGCGATAAATAGTACTGTATTATTTAAAATAAAGCTTTTGATATAAACGTTTAGTTGCTTTCTTGCGATATACGAAATCCATGCGGCTGGTGGTCCGTTATTTAGAAATAGACCTAAGTACATGTGTTCGAAGCTTTCAACACGACACTGAGACTGAAAGACCTGAAAATATAGCTAAACTACAAATTTAACGAACAGAAAATATTTGCGTAGCAGCGTTAGACTAGGAAGCTATTTTGGTTGGTTTAAAACAAACGAGCGTAGTCAGCGTCTATGAGGATGATTGTGTGACATATTTGCAGCCTTGCAGTGTTTCCGTGTGTTAGCGACAGTGTCGAAACAACATGCTGCGCACATTTAACAAAATACAGCAAATTTTGATTTTTTATCAAGTTTTTGAAGCTAAATTAAACGATATGTATATGATTACAATGCGCGCATTATGTATTACGGCTGAAAAGTGTAGAGGTATCATATTCTGTCAAAATAACAGCGGCTAGCGCGCTCGGTTGGCAAATAGCCCGACATCGCACAAATCATTTCGGTTTTCAATCGCAAAATCCCAAATCGTAGCAATTTATGGAATATTTCCGAACGCCACATAAACATGAATTGTTTGTCTATCTTTAAGGGCCACGAACATATACTAGGAGATAAAATAGAAAAATTTGAGGCTCGAGCGTTGGCCACCGACAGCGTAGAATTTATAGCTCAATCAATATGTTTGTATCAGACATATGCAATCGACATAGTTACATTCACGACGTTCATGATAGGGACTATCACACTTGCAAAGCTAATAAACCTATATCCTATAACTTAAGACATTTTATCATCAAACAATACATCTATAGACTTATTAGACTATACGAAACGGAAACATTTCAGTACTTGTTATACTATATAGATAACAGCAAGATAAAAAAACAGCATGTATTTTACTTTATTACTGCATGGAGATTTGTTTTTTTAAATTTTCCTGTATTTATCTAGCGCATAAATGGAAAAAAGTACGAAAAAAATATTAAAAATAAAAATAATATTTTCGTGAAAAAAATGCGTTTTCGGCACATTTTATGACCCACGACTTTACCAAAGACTTTACCCACGACTTTACTCACGACACACGACTTTTAACCCACGCCACACGACATATAGGGACACTCCTTCGATTATATAGGATCACTATTCAAACTAGAATAACTATAGATGTATAAATCTTCAAACTAGAATAACTATAGATGATGTTGAAATTATGTTAGCCTAATACACTTACATTCCTTGACGCAGTTCTTGCTACATAACACACCAAAATCCACCCGAAATGTTGACCACATGCAACAGGGATAGATACAACCATTATATACAATCGGAAAAGATTTTATTGAATAATTGAATTAATATCTAAAGTATTTAAGCGAGCCTTTTGTGAAACAGAACATTATGTATACACAGTGTATGGCGCAAACACGTGGAAGTTGGATATGATTTGACCATAATATACCTTTAAATAATTCAATAACCCATAATTTCAACATCTATAGTTATTCTAATTTGAATAGTGATCCTATATAATCGAAGAGATCTTTTGAAACACCGGATTTATGAAATAGTACAACAGGAATTTGAATCTGTTTTCTGACTTCGTTAATGATTCGTGGATCATGGGAAACGCACAAATACACAGACGCACAAATACACAGACGGATCACACAAATACACAGACGAAACCAGGAGAACACGCTCTTGAATACAAAATAAGTTCTCTGGACTGTTCCTATCGTTGCTACCATCTTTCCATTTCCAGTGCCTTAGTGCAGAGTGACAATTGGGGCATGTTATTTGACCAAAGTTGTTTGTATGAAACAGTGGGTTCCACAAGATGACTGAAGGAATAACGTTGTTTATCCAGTTATGTTTGAAAAAAAGGGCTACCTTCTGGGCAAATAAGAACTTGCGTTTCGTCTGGCTTTTTCTCGCAATTCTCAATGCATAACTTGATAAAATTTAACCCACGACTTTACTATGGAACCAGCACACGGCGAATTTGACAAATAGCACGTTAAAATACTGATAAAAAACCCCCACAAACAAGTCACTTTTGTTGCCATACTGTATTCGAATGACATCTAAAGCATGACTTAGTCGCGAGTGTATCACATGCAGGTGTGATTAAGAATCCAATACATAACTATTGTGTTTCGACACTGTCGCCCACACACGGAAACACTGCGGCAAGGCTGCACATATGTCATCCTCATAGACGCTGACTACGCTCGTTTGTTTGAAACCAACGAAAATAGCTTGCTAGCCTAACAATATTTTCAAGTCTTTCAGTCTCAGTGTCGTGTTGAAAGCTTCGAACACATGTAATTAGATCTATTTCTAAACAAATTAACGGACCGCCAGCCTGGAATTCGTATATCGCAAGAAAGCAACTAAACGTTTATATCAAAAGCTTTAATTTAAATAATACAGTACTATTTATCGCTTAAACGTCCCCTGCACCGCAATAGTACCTACAGATGACTGATTGTTTATATAATGCTGGTTGCGCCGTACGCGCAAGTTTGATTTTTGTTCTGGCGCCTGGCGGATTGAATTGCAAATGATCCAAATGATCCACAAAAAGCAAATGATCCAAATGATCCACAAAAAGCAAATGATCCAAATGATCTACAAAAAGCAAATGATCCAAATGATCTACAAAAAGCAAATGATCCAAATGATCCACAAAAAGCAAATGGTCCAAATGATCCACAAAAAGCAAATGATCCAAATGATCTACAAAAAGCAAATGATCCGAATGATCTACAAAAAGGAAACGATCCAAATGCACCAGCCAAAAAGCAAAAGATCCGAATGATCTTACAAAAAGGAAACGATCCAAATGCACCGGCCAAAAAGCCTGACGATCCAAAACAAATAGGTAGCTAAAACTAGTATTATTTAAAAAACAAAGAACAAAGTGAAATGATATAATTCCATTATTTGCTATTGGTGTGACGTCACTCTTGACTTGTGACGTCACCCGTGACTTGGTATATCGCGCATAAACCCTATAACTTGCCATTGCTCGTCCACATCTCGGGTATGCCACTCAGGTTTGGTCCCCACAATCAATTGACCTTATCAGACGTGTCGAAAGGGTCCAGCGTCGTGCTACTAAAGTCATCCTAAACCTACATTTTAAAACTGATATAACCTATATAAACAACGTTTGAAGTCATTTCATCTACTTCCAATCTCCTACTGGCATGAATTCCTTGATCTGGTTTAAAATTGTTCACAATATTACCGCCATGAACTCTGAAGTCAAGCCAACTCAACATATTCCCACAAGATCAACCCGAAATATACTTTAAATACTTCATGTTCGGAAAATACATTATATAATAACTACAGTGAAACACGCAATTTGATTGGTCAACAGCCGTGCAGGATCAGACAATCCTGCACGGGAAATTCTGAACAGAAATTCTTGCACATAATTTTACAAATATACTCGCATTGTAAAGTTTCATTGTACGATACCTTTCGACTTTGAAGTAAGTTTCCAATTATTGAGACGTTGGTTTAGTTGTATGAATAAATTTCTGATCGATACATTCCTGTTCAAGCAAGTAGCAACGCGTAGCGTAGAAATTCATCAGACCATGACAAGTACAACATCTCTCGCTAGTCGCTTCAAAGTTCAAACGCTTCGCAATCTTCAAGTATTCAGGTCGAGAATCTTTTCATAACTACTTTGGCTCTCTGTTTAACGGGTTTTCCATTTCAAATTTCGTAAATTTTATCGAAAAAGTCTCTGTATTTTCGCTGTATATTTTCGCGAATTTGCGATCAAATTCTGTTCGCATTTGTTGTTGTTTTCAATAGCGTGGAGTAGCGATTCTTCGATTGATTAATTGACGATTGTTGTGAGAACTGCACATTTCATCAGTAATTTTAATCAAGTTAATTGTCGTTTCACTGTAGTAATTTTATAAAACAATTACCAAATGGTTTTCCCGTCCAGGATAGCATGATCCATGCACTTGGGATGTTGCTCGACTTTCGGAAAGCGTAAAAATACACTCGCCTACGGCTCGTGTATTTTCACGCTTTCCGAAAGTCTCGCAACATCCCGCGTGCATGGATCACGCAATCCTGCACGGAAAACCATTCGGTATTCCTTTAATAGTTTTGTCAGCGAGGCGAGGGGTTTCTGCATGCATGTATTTTCTTGTGTAGTTTTAAGCATGTTATTTGACATC